GCATACAACGTGCCTAATGCTAGAGTTCATTGAAAATCATCCCACAGCTAAAACAAAAATGCATGCCGAATTAAAAAATCAAAAGGGGTGGCGCCAGGATTTGCCCAAAGAGAGCTAAGTGACCGTGGTCAGGCTTTCCCCATAATTTTTAGAAAGGAGTCCAATGAAAATTTAGAGGTAAGGCTTATTTAATCGATTTTACAGGCTACTAAAATGTAGAAAATACAAATTTTTTTTTTTTGTCCTCGACGTGGGGCCCTGGTCCTCGGCTCCCCTTGTGCCACTCCTGTAGTTAAATAAATAATGTAAAACATATAGAATGGGAAGCAACTTGTTTTGGCTAATAAATTCTTTGGCTAATAAATTCTAGCACGGGCCCTATCCAGCTCAGGCTAGAATGAAGAGGAAATACAAAATAACAGCTATCCTAGTACATGTTGGTTGGAAAAATTACTGAGAGTCAAATTCTACATGGCTAAAATCCATGATAAGGTAACAACTTTATTAGTTTGAAAGTGGCCATTCAAACAATATCAATTTGTATATATTTATAAATATATGGTGCATTTTTTTTTTTTTTTAGTTCAACTGGTGGTGGCTGGTCAGATGATGGCTGTGAAGTTGTCACTTATAATAACACACATATTGTTTGCCAATGTACGCATTTAACTAATTTTGCAATTTTGATGAAAGTAAACGAAAATCAACCTGTAAGTTATTTATTATTGCTATTTTTTATATTATTATTATTATTATTATTATTATTATTATTATTATTGTTATTGTTATTTTATTGTCATTGTTATTATTGTTATTAATGTTAAAATTAATTAATTATTATTTTTATTATTAATTGTTAATATTAGTGTATGCTTCTTATTGCTCTTCAAAGGTGTCTTAGATACACTTGAATTCAAATGTTGTTATAATAAATGCAAAATTGTCTCAATGAATTAGAATTAAAATGCATAAACTGATGATGTAGTGATTTACAGGCAATTTAGCGTTGTGAATAACAGGTCTTAGATATGCACAGAATCAAAAGTTTCATTTAGACAAAATTTGTATCGTTATTATATGAAATAATCTCCAAATGAATACTTACTGAAAAAAAATAATGTGATGATAAAGTGATTACTAGGCTAAAAAATTAATGTTATTACTTTATAATACATTATTGTTTGGTGTCCAAAACTTTTTGCAGAACCATACATGGTATTGAGAAGTATGTAGGAAACATGAGTATATATCGTAATCGTAGGTAGGAAGCATGAGTATATATCATAAAAATACACATACAGGTCAATATGTCCATTATGATAAATGTGCTCCATGGAACCATAAGATCTCTTGGATCCATATTTTAGTTTCTGGAGCCCACAAACTGTGTACTCTTACTGAACTTCAAGCAGAACTTTGTAACATTAGAAAGTTTGTGTCTTGGAATGGGTACCCTTTAAAAGTTGTTAACAATGTACTTAAATTAAAATTAAATGAGCCTAAATATATACATACGGTAGGCCTACAGATTTGGATGAGATTGCCTTATCTTTGAAAACCAAGTGAATTTATTTTATTTAATAAAGTGTAGAAATACTTAATTAAAGCGGTAAAATCCATAACTTTACGGCAGTGTAAAAATGTTTCTCATTTTATATCTACTAAAGATCAAACCCCGAAGGAGTATAGAAGTTTTGTAGTTTTAAATGTTCAGGTTGTAATAGTGATTATATTAGTAAGACACATAGATTTTTAATAACTGGGCTTAAAGAACATTCTCCACGATCTGATAGTGTTATATTTGATCACTTGTGAGAAATTGTGAGAAAGTGTTTTATGCTTACAAGTTATCTTACTTGTATCTCTTCTTGGGCCGTTGTGAAGCATGAATGCTTATATGGCCCACTCTTCCTCAGGTCACAATACTACTTTGTTGTGGCGTAAAATTTGGATGAGTGCCGATCTGGTCCATGTGCTAGGTCAAAATTTGATGAATTTCACTGTCAAATTTGCTGTGAGTTTTTTTTTATGTAAATCTAAATAAAAAGTCTATTCCCCATAACCGCAGTTAGGGGTTACGCTTTAGTCGCTGATTGAGGATGCATGCATCCCTAGTCAACACCGGTCGAGTTTTGGTCATCTCAGACTTAAGCGCCTCCTACCCTATATAAAACTTTAATGGATGTTCTTTCCAAAATTCATTTAATCCTGACTTGAAAATATTTATTGAAGATGCATTTACCAACTCATCAGGGAGATTATTCCAGACATCAATAACTCTACATGAAAAAGAGTGCTTTCTTAAAATGGTGACACTATGGGTTTTATATAACTTAAAACTATGTCCCCTAGTTTTCTGACAAGAGGTAAACTCAACAAATGTAGCTGTATCAGCTTTGACCCATCCCCTGATGATCTTAAAGACTTGTATGATATCCGATATACTTGATAATGATGATGTGGTCTGTAATGGTAGTAATAAATTAGGTTTAATATTTTCTAATACTAACATTACTGACAGTTCACAAAACTGGTCTGTCCTATATTGCTTAAGGAAGTGTTTGCTATAGGTACACTACACCCATTGGTTAACAATGAGCTTAAAGCAAAGAAATTCGAGTCAACTTGACCCCATTCAACTCAGCCACAAGTCAACTTGGCTCCAAGTCAACTCTGCCCCAAATGAACTTGGCCCCAAGTTGAACTGCTTCCCTTCAAAGGAGCTTTCTTTTTTTTTTTGTAGGTAGCTTTGATTAGTAGAGTTAAGGTTGTTTTGATCTTTAGTTTAACTCAAAGCTATGTCACCTAGTTAGAGGTAAATTTTTGATTGATTAGACACTTTTGGTATTAATTGTGCATAAAAGCTTGTAAATATGGATACTTTTCTCATTTCTGATGATGACAACATAGTTAATGTTGAAATACACAATGGCATGCTTTTCAATACTTGGAGTATGTATTGTACTTTCTTATACATGGTATTTAAAAACGTAATTTCACAAAACATATTTACGTTACTGCTTAGACAACTACTGTCATATAGTTGTCTCAGGTTGCTGCACGACGTTAACCTTAACTTTAACGTTAGTACCCATCATGCAGCGTGATAACTCCGCCCCTTTTCGAAATACGCATGCGCAAACCCGTAACTAACATACGTCCAGCACATAAAATCCTGAAATTAACGTACTCCGCAACGTATAGGACATATTATTGAATTTTGACCATAATTGCAGGGTGATATAAAACTTTGTGTGATTGTTTATTTTAAATAAAAATATACACAACGTAAGGCAAACGTTTTATTTTGTTATAAATATCGTAATGGTTACACAATATTGTGTATTTTTCATTTGCAGAGTCTATCTGATGTTCACATAGTTGCATTAGACGTTTTGACCTACCTGCTGACGTCAATGTCTATAATTTGTCTATTGCTGACTGTCTTAACTTATGTATATTTAAGGTATGCTGTATTTCTAACTTATAAGTTGTTTAGCGCTTTTTGTAACTAACGCAATGTATTATTACAGTATTTTAAAATGTCATTTTATTACAGAGCCACCTCCTTTCTTAACACTCTTCCTTTTAAATGCAATATATCTTATTCTAATTTTAAAACCAAGTTAAAATTATATCTCAGAGAAAAGCAATAAAATTCTGATTTTAACCATCACCTTGTAATTTTATAATGAATTTTAAAGTTTATTGTATTTTTAATGAATGTTACAATGTTTATCCAATATTTTATTTATTATATTGTTTTTTAACTTTGCCGTAATGAAGCTTTTACTTACTTGGATTCTTAATGTATTGTATATATTTTCATGTATTGTTTTTCTTTCGAGGGCCTCTTCAAGTCGGCTGTACTACTGTAGTGCAGCTGTTAGAGCTACCCTCGTGAAATAAAGTTGAAATAAATAAAATAAATAAATTATTGATGAATAAAATGGTCGGCCTGATGAAAAGCTAAAAAGGTATAACAGAGAAGTTCAGACGAAGTTCTCCATAATTTAATTACTATAGCTTTTGGTATCTCTATGTCACCAAAAATAAGAAGGAACTCTGTCAAATAGTATGTGATAAATCCTTGTGATTTGCCCTCATGTGATTGATATGATGACATCATCATGATACCCAAAGATGGGGTTCAGCCCGTTGTTACCTGGCCTCTTGCCAACCGGCCTTTTGTCCTTTTTGTCACCCATCCTTGTCATCCACTCAGCCCGTTGCCAGCCAGCCTTTTCACCACCTATAGGCTCCAAAAATCTTAATACTAAATTTTGAGAGCTAGTTGTATAAACTCTTCGCTAAACCCCGGCTCTTGTATTGTATTGTATTGTGTTATGCGTTGTGTTGTTGTCTTGCTGCTAAGGTCCCACAGCCTAACATATGACCTACGCAACATATATATGTTTTTGAAACTATAGAGGAGAGTGAGACTTCCTGCAATTGTTCTGATTTTGCATTTGTTAAGTTTGATTAAAACTCTGGTAAATTACATTAACTCAGCAAAACACTACATGGTGGTCTATCTATATATAATGAAGAATTTCCCTTAAGAATACGCATAAAAATAACATAGGCCTAATTGACTGTGACTGTATTGTCCATCTGAAAAAAACATTTTTATCTTCAACAGAAAGTGGAGAATAAAACGAAATATCATCCACATGAATTTGGCCGCTTCGCTTGGTACAGCTCAATTATTGTTCCTTACGCTCATCGACTTAACTGGAAACAAGGTAAAATTTAAACACTTAAATTCAGTCATTCTCTGTTCCACCTCCTATTTCTTTTTTATATAATGCAAACTGTCACAATTCGTGGAAAAGGGAATACCACGACAAGATTGTTTGGTACGGCATTAATTGCTTTCACATTGTTGCATTCTTCTAAAAAGAAATAATTGTTTACGTATAAAATTTACATGTTCCTTTGACTGTAGTGGTTGTTAAACTTTATTTCCCTTTCTAGCATATTTCTTTTTCATCCTCGTAAAATTTGTTATATATTTAAGTTAAATATTTAAAAAAACAATTATGTTACTTGAATGTGGAGAAAAACAGCATACACCATGCGTTGTTACATATGCTAATTGATTCGACATATTTTTATTTTATTTAGAATTGGTGTTCCTACATTGCTCTGGTTCTCCAGTACTTCTTTACCGTCAGTTTCGCCTGGATGTTGCTTGAAGGAGTGTATCTTCTGGTTACATCACATAGTAAACTACATCACAAAAACCCAAGGACTGGCGTCTACATCGCATTTGGATGGGGTAAGTATTTAAAGTTCCTAAGCAGCCCTATCCATACTATCAAATTTCATTCGACAAAAACATTTGACATTTCTAAATATGATCATGATGATATCACATCGTGACCATATAAAATAGGAGCATAATGGCTACATATAGGCATACATCAGTTTTGTGTCAAATGATATTTGATAGCCTGGACAGGGCTTGGGCTTTACAAATCCTATCCTAGCTCCTCAATAATTTTCAATTTATTAAGCAATATCATCTTTAAAGCGTTTCCAGTAAATCGCAATAGAAATGTGTTACATAACGATACCTGTCTCTTATACACATCTAGATGTGTATAAGAGACAGGTGTCTTGAAATATTAAATTTATTTAATCACGTTACTTTTTTTCAGGAATAATTTCTAATTTACAAAAGGAAAAATTTCATCAAATATGTATTTACACACATATACTAAGTATAATATATAAAAATAACGGCATATGGGATAATGAATAAGCCTAACTAGTTTAAAGATACTATTTATTACAGGTTTTTTGATTGATCTGATATTTTCTGAACAATCATTATATAGGTTTTTGAATAATGTATTGTGAAATAATAATCCAACATTGAGCAATAAAATACTATTACAATCCACAGTCACGCCATTATGTATTGTGGTCATCTCATTTTGTATTGGTTCGTCCGGTTACGGTACGAGTGACGCGTGAGTAATATGTTTGCTTAATAAATCGATTAACACACACCCACACTTACAAGTCTAATACATAGAAGACAAATAGAAAAATGTAACCTGAATATCGTGACGTAATTTTGTTATGTAGCTTTTGTTGTATTCACGGTACCTTCATCACCTGTCAATCATGGCGGTTCACTCGTTGGTAACATTCTACTATTCAGATTACAACTTCCAAAACCATAACTGATAGACTCAATCAGAATACCTGTTGTTCACATTCCTATATTTAACTGATATTATTATTATTATTATTATTATCATATTATCCTCATCTTCACCAGCACCACACCATCATTATCATCATCATCATTATTATTAACATTATCATCATCGTTATCTCTATCACTATCATATTTATTCTTCTTATTATTATTATTAATATAAGCTTAATTAATATAAGCATAATTGATAAATTAGTTCTCTTTTATAATGTTTTTACATGTTCAGGAGCTACTTTGGGTGTGTTTGTGTTTGTCTGGGTATGCAGGCTTTACAGTATGGTTTAGTGTTGTTTTAAGTATTTATAAACATTTTGTGTTTTACTAGATGCTGGTTAAAGTCGGGAACAGCTGTGATATGGGCTTTTGTTGTCCCGATACTTATTGTCATCATCGTAAGTAGGCATATTACGAAACATTCACAATAAAAAACATACTTGTTTTAGTGTTCAGCTATAAAAGTTGGCCATTTTTTTCATTTTACATGGATGCTTAGCTAGGCAATTTCTATTGAAAGTTTATGTCATTTAACTATCCATTTTAGCATTTTAATTTCTATATACGGTACTTAAAGGCTTTTTAAAGGGCATAATTATAAATAGAATAAAATACAATATTATTATTGCTATTACTATTGTGTTGTTATTCTTAATGCTACTTTGTTATTAATATTATTATCATTTATACAATTACAATAATTAGTGTTGTTAATGTTATATTTACATTTCTTTATAATTTATTCTCTCAGCTGTAGGCCATAAGCGAATTATATCACCAATTCACACGATGCGATGTGACAATATTCATTTTTCTGTTCTTAATCTACCCATGTGTCATCCATTCACCAATGTACAATCCCCTATCATAATATTATTGATTCTCAAAAACATAACCAGCAGGGCCTTACTCACATATCTTGGCCATAGTGTCTAAAGAAGATGTTAATATCTGTAATAATCTATGAAAATATTATATTTATATTGATGTTTAGAAACCGCTGTATCAGTTTTAAACATGGTAGTCTCTTACCTTGACCAAATGAGAGTGATGTGAGCATCGAACAAACCAACACTTGAACTGAGGCAGCTATCATGTACTGTAGTTGTCTCAGACTTGGCAGGGGTGGTGCAAGGTTTTGCTCAACGGGGATGGGGATGGGGGTCCGATGTTTCCAACGGGGGCCGACTCCCGGACGAGAAAGTAGTTGGACGTTCTGGTTTGCCCAAAATCTCTCGGAAGTCATCCAAGCGGTGTAGCCCCCGAAAACTGTTATAATATAGGGTTACAAAGGCATATTTAAACGATTTTAGAGTCTACTAATATGCAAAAATTGGGCCTATATATAATTTTTTCTCCTTGACAAGAGGCCAGGAGCTCTCCCCGACACATTTGGCCCTTTCGCAAACCTGCTGTGCCCAAAATTATGTATTTTCTAGGTACAGTATGCGCTAGAATTTTGCGTCGTAAACGGGATCGAGATTGTGAAAAGAAACTCAATCTATGATGAGTATTTCCTCCATTGACAGAAAGGGTACTTCACACACAAACTAATTTTCGAGTCTCAATGAGTGGAGTGATTTTTTCTTTTTCACTTGGACAAGGCAAATCTCAAATAATAAATTTTAAGATGTTTTAAAACCACAATTTACAACAAATTTAACTAAATAACTAAAAAGTCCCTATAAACTAAAAAAAATGGCAGCGCTGTTCCAAATTTCACAATGTAGTGTAATACTATTATAACATTACAGGGCCTAGTCTAGGCCTTCTGTAATTATAACAGTGCCTATGACCAAAGTTGCTATGCTCGCTAAGTCATTTTTATTCGAATTTTTAAGGTTTAATACCACCAGGTGGGCACTTGCAGCCAAAAGATCAGATACTGGCTTATACGGTCTAACTAGGCCTAGCCAATTATTAGGCTATATCCCTAAATATACTGTACTCAGGGGCGGATCCAGAGATGTCCGAAAAGGGGGCAGTTGCGAAAGTGGGGCCGATCGAGCACTACAGTAGGGAGTCCGGGGAATGTAAAATATCATGACAATATCGGTTTTCTTAATTTTATAGAACTCTAAAAGTTCATCAAAATCGAAAAACCCCTTGCTCGGACGATTACGTTCCATTTTCACAAACTAGATCCGGATCGCATTTACAACGATGCAAACTTCTACCGCATGCGTAGAAACTACATAATTTTTGACACGGCAGCTAATTGTTGGCATGGCGGGTTTACGAAAGGGCCAAATGCCTCCCAGACGGGAGAGCCCCCTCCCCCATGCTAATTCCACCTCTGCAGACTTGAAGAATGAAGAATGTATCCTTTTTCCATTGCAGTTCAACTCCTGTGTACTTGTTGTTGTCATTCGGATATTCTTAGGATTAAAAGCAAATGAAAACAAGACCAAGAGACAGCAACTAAGGTGACATTAATTTTCACACTGCTACTTTTAATTTTTACAGTTATTATTATTATTATTATTAAATTAATTATGCGAATAATACTGTTTTTTAAAACTACATCGATAATTATTATAATAATCATAGTAATGAAAATAGTAGTAATGATAATAATTAGTATTATAATTGTATTACAATAATGATACTGATAATAATGTTAATGTTAATAATAATAATAATAATAATAATAATAATAATAATAATAATAATAATAATGACAATAATATATGTTCTGTTGATTATCTTGTTGTTGATCATAATAGTTGATAAGTGGATTAATTGTGAGGATTTTTTTATGTTTTTCCCAGGTCTAGCATTCGTGCAGTCCTTTTAATGTTGCCCTTGCTGGGATTGACCTGGGCATTTGGATTTGCAACGTCCTATGACAATACAAACTTCTTTACATACCTGTTCGTTATCTTTAACTCATCACAGGTAATTTTATTGAATGTTTATTTATTGACGGAATTTATCATTAATAGAGTCAATACATTAAAATTGATACAAAAAAGGCTGATAAAATTTGTCAAAAATCAGTTACCCTACAATGATGTGGTGTTATGACCATATTAGGCTTGTCACATGTTTTTGTCAGATAATTTTTTTTAATTTTCAGGGCTTAAGCAAGAATAATTTGTTGATGCAATAAATCACCATGATTATATGTATGAACATACAATGCCTGTCCTATATAAAGAAGTTCACAGTGGCTATCTTTAGAAGCAATTTTAATTCATTTTCAATTTATTTCACTTGGTCTGACAGAATAATGAGCACACATAGGCTTAACATTACAACAATATATATATCACAATATATTTTCCAAATTAACATCATTAACAATAATTTAATTAGTTTTTAGAAGCATTATTGATCACAGTCTGAACACAAACATTTTAATTTTTGTCTTCATCCCTATTTTTATTATTGTCAGTCTACATTTAGGCCTACAGTATTTACAAATGAAATAAATTAGTTTCTTAGTGTTATTTGTACTGAATGTAACATGTTTTTTCCACAGGGAATATATATTTTTCTTCAACTCATTGTACTAAATAGTGAGGTACGTTCACAAAATTTCTATAATTACAAAATTAAGGCCTTGGAATTACTCCAATTTGTCTTATTCATATATATATATATATATTGAATAGATAATAATAGCTTATAATAATTAACAAATGGTGATAAGAAAACGATGCGCAGTACGTGACGTTGTTTGGGTCCTTGACAACAATTATGCGCAAATGAAAAATGAAATTTATTATTTCAGAAACTAAAACAACTTGCTTTGGATGTGTATAAGAGACAGATATATATATATATAGTAACCAAATGAAATTGTTTGAATAAACTTATGTATTGTAATAATGAAATTTTCATGATGTTTGTAATTATTCTCATTGCATTGGGAAGGAAAAAATGAGTCATATATAACAATAATATATAATAAGTGTTCTTACAGTCAATATTTCAATTCATGTCATTATTCATCTCTATACTGTTGGAATATTATGTATGTATACATTTCTTGTCTTCAATATGTTTAAGAGGAGACATATCATATTTATACGCCCTGAATGGCAATCGCTGTCCAACTACGCATGTACTATAGTGTAAAAGATTAGTTAATTTAATCATAATTGAATTCTCAACAAAGCGTAGATGGTCTAGTTGGCTAGGGCGTCTGCATAAATAGGAGTCGAATCTCGGTTGGCCCAACTTTTCTTCACATTTGCAGATTTATTATTCTTTAACATTCAAAATGTGTGTATATTATTTAGACCATGCTATGTTTATAAAGTACATGTCTTGATTGTTCTTGGCCATTGTGCCTAAAAATTTAATAAAAAAATAACAAAAGTAAGATCATCTGAATGCCTAATGAATTCAGACATGCCATTACCAAACTTAACTTCTCTTTTAAATTTTCATTTGCTTGGCGTTTGCATAGACTATTATGTTCACAATGCATGCCATTGCTATTCATTAACCTTTCCATGCATTATTTTCTTTTTTTTTCTTTTTTTTTTAATTGAGAACTTAAAACTATAAATTACAAATGATTTTGTATATTCTGTTTTTATTAATTATTCATTCAAAATATAAATATTCTACATACAATGACAAAGAGGAAAAACACAATATATATTAACATAGAAAATTTTCGTTATTACATATTTTTCAGATAAATCAGATTTTTATTCAGAGATATAAACGCCGTTCGTCCAAAACGGATGTCATTGTGTTGACCTCTACATCTCCTGTTATTGCAAGGGAGGCGTTCGTTGAGCAAAGCAGGAGTCTGTGAGTTATTTAATCTTGGTGCAAGATCCTCCAAGTTGAAAATGTTATTGAACATCAAAAGAATATACAGAAAGTTGTTTAAGCTTACTGAGAAAATACATCTTTTAAGGTATTTGTGTAGATTCCATAAGATAGTTAGATATAGCCTGAATTAATACGATAGTCAATTCAGGGTTAAATTCATATGATTACCTCAGTTGATGTTACATTAAAATTTTTGTTAGTATTATGCTTTTATTCACAGAGACAACCATTAATTACTGTATCATCTGCTTTTTTTTTTTTTTTTGCAATATTACACTTAATTTGAACTTTAGGTCTTTATAATAGAGTACTACAATGTTACATCACGATACCATGTGATACTACTCCGTTGCTATCGACGACACAAAATGCGTTAAACCGACGCCATTTTCTCCACTGACAAACCATTGATCCCAATTTCTAACATAATTATTAAGAAGTTGTATCTTAATTTTTCTTTGTAAATGTTAATTGATGATTAAATGTGTGTTCGATAACTAATACAATGCGAGCTTTTTGGGTTTTCGTGGTAAATTATTAGGTTTTAAAATGCCTATTCCAGAAAGCCTATTCTAAACAATTAAGATTATGAAGTCATTCAGGCCTACTGAACGGTTCTCAACGTCCAGAGGGCGCCACCTGGTGGTTGTGATGACACGACCATGGACGGGTACTCTAAGATGAGAATTAACAAAGGGGATATAACTCACCCTGGAGTAACCGTCTTTTGCAGTGTCCGTCTAAATGATATTGTGCAGAAAATGTTATAGATAGGACAAATAATATATTAAATTAATTGTTAGCCTACACAATGATTTAACTGGCAATATAAGGAGCTCCTGAACACTTACTAATAAACTCAGTTTATTGATTATATACCAGCCCCATATTATGCATAAAATAATTGATTTTACCCTTCGGCAAGGTCTAAACTAAAACTTAGCTTCATTTAGGTTCAATTAAAAATTATTTCAACCGTGTAATAATGCATTATTTTGTTAGCCCGTAATATATTAATTTATGTCGTTACAGTGTCTGCACATATAGCTACACAAAAGATTGATATTAGCACGAGATAACAAATATCTGGCGTATGTCGTAAAGAAAATTATACTATAATTTTTTGACCATAATATTAATATTTAATAATAGTATTTGTAATTTAAGTAAAGAAATACTGTACAGTAGATCCAGTATTTTCTGTCAGAAAAACTATACTGTATATTGGATAGGCCTATATAAATGTTTAGTCATATTACATATTACACTTTGCAGGCACCTTAATTAACTTTGCTTTTTTGGCAATTAATTTAATATATTTATAATGACAACATAAATTGATGAAGTTAGATATTTTGTGACAAAAGACAAAATGTACTTGATATTGTATTAATGGTAATAGGACGCATACCACTATGTAGGGTATATATATACATAGACCTATATATACTTTCTTATTTTATTGATTTTAATATGTCTAAATATATATATATATATATATATATAGCATATATATGTAGCATAATATATATAGCAGGTAATTGTAATAATATATGATGTATGGTAAAATAGATATAATGTGTTTGATGATGTTGTTAATTGTTTGTTAATATATTGTACAATATTACTAAATATAATTTTAAAAATAATATTCGACGTGATAATATTAATGATAGTAGAATATTATTGTATATTATTTGATACATCATGATGATGTTAATCATGGCTTGTATGATATCATACATGTGCTAGATATAATGATAATTAAGTGGCTTAGTGCATATGTTATGATTATCAATATTCTAAGTGTAATTATTCAATTCAATCTTTATTGGTTTAATATATATCTATGACAAAATTATGCTTAACAATGTTGTATGTGATGATAACAATCATGGTATGATGACATGATAATAATGAAACAAGTAACTTAGTACAGATGGTACGGTACAGTACTGTATGTCATTGAGTTAAAATTGGTTATAGTAGTTGTGATTTAATTAAGTATCTATATTGATTATCTACTAATTTTAATCCTATAGTGCAAGTGCAAATTTGATGTAGGCTATGCAAATGGCATTTGCCTTTATTCACCCCCTCACTTGGCTGCAAAAGCTTGTTGGATAATCTTTTGGCATGACATGCGTCTTTGCTGTCATACTCTAAGAAATGTATGTGTTTTTTTTTTCCACCGAGGAAAGCATCTGACATTTTGTATAAAACTACTCTCAATATGGCAAAATATTGAACCTTATTCAAGAAACAAAATATCTTGGACATCTGACCCATATTTAACATAACACAGGTCTATTCAAGACAACACACCTCAATATAGATCTAAATGTTTCATGGGAATATGTTAAGTCCTTAATTCAGCAAATGTTCAAAAGAGGTGAAAAACAGATTATTGTGTATTGTAGTTAGTCTTTTGGGCTCAGTTTGTACATGTTAACATTAGCTTCAAGTATGCTAGGCCTATAATAATGCTTTAACAAAAATACTCGACACTGTTTGTCATGATGTGCCTTCATTATATTATAAGAAAACATGCTAGGTTTCAATGTGTAAGATGGAAAAGGGTGTAGACCAGTGGCGTAGCTATGGACAGTGCAAAGCACTGGGGCCCAAGGCTATTAGGGACACATTCATAACTAATTTCCAATTAAGTTGGAAAAAAAATGGCCAGCGGGCCCCTTAATACTATTCAGTTTGTAGAGGAGTAATTATTGTTTACTGTGTTGATTTCAATTCAGTGATGTATTCAAGGGGCCCAAGTCGGACCCCCTACATATTCAAATTTTTTTTTTTTAAAGGGAAAAAAGGAAAATATATTCATTATATTATAAGCCTGAGGGTGTAATTTCCGGCCATCTAGAGGTATTATAACCATAAATTTTCTTACCTCAGCTCCACCTTGGTTGGAGGTGAGGAGTCTTCAAAATCCCTTTCTGGATCCTCTATTATCAAATTCCCTGAGCCGCCACTGCAATTGTTTAATTTTACGTGCCACCAATTTTCTTGATTATTATAGAACAGCTGCTGAGACCGAATATGCCCCTCTTAAAATAGTAACAAATCCGATTATCATTAGTATTTTGTTACTACTTAGGCCTTTAGGAGCAGTAGGGGGTGGGGGTATAACTAACTGAGAACTTTAGGGAATTCCCCGGTTCACATCAAAGGGCCCGGCAATTAACCTTGCACTGGGGCCCTTTCGCACCTATCTACGCCACTGGTATATACTGTTTGGTCCTGTCTAAGAGATTCGGAACTTTGGTTCTGTATTCTCTTTCTCTTCTTTTAAACTCTAACTTTGCCCAAGTTAATTGATTGGTTGTGATTTGTAATAATGAATTGTTTCAATGACCTGTGTATGGAATTTGACCACTCATTATCTACTGTCACAATTGATCAGCGCTGGCTGATCAGCCACCCTCACAAAATATTGTTAAAATAAGTAAATAAATGGATGGATGGATGACGCTTCTAAGCATTTAATGGGAACGTTTTAATTTAACTGTTTTATGGATGTTTTGTTCTGTTTGCTATTGTTGTCGTTCCTTTAGAATTTCGATATTATAATAAGATAGTTGAATTTTTAAATAATTAATAGATTGATAGCAAATGCTGTAATTGTAAGAATAAATGGCTTAGTATTGATGTTGTGTGGTCCAACTTTTTTACATGTGATGATAATTGATGACTTCGTAGGTATACAATGGAATGATAATCCAATTATTATCTGATGTTATTATAGATAAACCAGCTTACTGTATACCGTAATAATGTGATAATAATAATTATAATAATAATAATAGATATGGCTTAGTATGGATAATATTCCATATTTGATGGTTAAACGTAGAATTATTGTATTTTTATTTCATACTATTTTGTAATGAAGTATATGTCTGTGGTGAATATTAATGGTGTAATAAAGCGGCGAATTATGTCAAGTAAATTGTTTAAATTGGTGATTTTTGTTAAGAATGCTAATTCGAAAGACAGTGTTCAACTTTATTAATAAAAGTGAACCCTGTATCGAGGTTGAGGACATAAAGGATACGAAGATGGTGTTGTTTATCACTAGACTTACATCTTTCAAAATAAATCGAGTCAAATTACGAAACGTTAAAAAAAATGTGTGCGAGGAGAGATAATACAAAAACATTGCTTATGAAAACAATAATTATTATTTTTAAAGCTTAAATCCCTATGCTTTGTAAATCTGAACATCAAATGCCCTTTAAAGAACCCAATGAATATTTCCACAAGAGTTACCCCGATGCTACAGGGGTGGCGCCAAAGGGGGGTCTGGGGGCAGGGTCCCCCGTCTGAGAGAAAAATCCACAATTCATCGGGGAGAAAATAAATGTATTTTTATTTTCTACATTACTCTAAAATCGATTAAGCCTTCGAAACCGCTAAAATATGTTGTTCGGGGGCTTGACACTTTTGAGAGATTTTGGGCGACGCCCAACCACGCCCACTTTTTTTTCCATCGGGGACACCGGCCGCCCTGTCGCGGACTTCGGACCCCCTGTCTGGCAAATACTCACGCCACCCCTGCGATGCTAAGGTTCAGTTCAGCCTCCGTCGTGTTAGTACTGATGCAAACATGAAACTGTTAAGCTTACCTCAGCTGCTACAAGAGTCACAGACCACACTTATATGCAAACAATGATACGCGTTACACCTACACACACACACCGATGCGCGTTATACCTATACACACACAATGACATGCGTTATGGGTTTTCTCTCACCTTTTCTATAACAGATAACTGACAAAAAGTCATCCCGATTGTGAATGATTTTGACTTATCAAACGTGATAAGATTTGTCATCTTCACCAATCAAATCAATGATACAATTGTCGACCAGGGGTGGCGTCAGTGGGGGCTGACGCCATGACCTCCATCGCGCGGAGAGCTTGCCACCGTTGGAAAAAAAAACCCCATTATGTATATTCACATATAAGTAGACTTTAAAACAGATTAAAGAAGTCTTAGAATCCTCTAAATTGTCATAGTTACCATGGGTTTCGCACAATGGACCACTTCCGACAAGTTTTTAGCGAAACCTAAACACGGCCACATAGGCTTGTAAAGGAAGAGCTCCCAACCCTCCCCCGTTGAGCCAATCCTGTAAATCAAAGGGGTGCAAAGTGCGGCCCGACAGCGATTTTTTTATTTATTTTTTTTTGTGGCCCACGAAAATGAATTAAAAACCTATGTTTTTGACTAGAAACCACCTTGTTTATACGGCCCGACACCGATCATCTGTAACAAGTAATTAATGTTAAAACTGAGAATACATTTTTATGAAAGCAGTGCATGAAGGTTTTTGGAAGTACACTGTAAACATCAAAGTTTGGGTGCGGCCCTTGGTGTTAAGTCGAAAATTCACTTTGGCCTCAAAATGGATTTTAATGCCACCCTTGCTGTAAACAGACGGCACTAACCTTTTATGCATCTCAAATAATATATAAATATGATACGTCCTCTTCTTTTGACAAGACGGAATCTCCGAAAGATACATTTTTACATAAATCATACTACAGTATATATGACTTTAAAAAAATGACTTTTTATACGCTCGCGTGTATGTTGCTATGGTATTAAAAAAAATATATATTTTTAAAAACATTTTTATTATTTTTTTGCACAAGCATCCATCAACCCTCAAATTAACCACCCTACTTTACAATCTGCTAAAACGACGAGATTTGACTCATTTGATTTGGTCACATATGATGATGTTAAAAAACTCATTCTGAATCTTCTTCCTAAATCATGTGATCTTGATCCCTTTCCGACTAAACTGCTGGTGCGTCTTCGCTCGTTTATTCCTGTTGTAAGGTCAACACCATTAGAGCATCTGTGAGTTGTGATCTTGCCAACTGCTGCTTAATTGCCAGTGGTCTCAAATTGCAGGAAAACGATCGCAATGGTGTTGGCTCTTCTGCAATAGTCTGTCTCTTCTGACTTTTAGTTTCTGTGTAGCCTAGGATAGCTTTGTTTTTTGTTTTTTTTTCTTGTTTTTTTCTTGTAAGTTGCGCATAGAGACCACGTACTTTGCGCTATATAAGTCTCCAACTATTACGATTACCATTAATGTAGAAATAAGCTGCATACCGTCTAAAACGCATGCGCACGAGTGTAAATGATCCATTTGATTAAATCATGATATAATATAGATACTGTAAACAGTCTAAAACGCATACGCGTTGATTTAATCGGACTTGAATTCGAAACGAAACCTCAGTGGCTTGGTTAAAGCATCAGTATAGACTGATTTAAATCCCGGTTAAGGCAACTTTTGATTTCGCACTCCCAGATTCCTCTTCTTTAACGTTGAAAATTAAAATTTAGTAAATATTATTCAAATTGTTCGCTGTATAGCAAACACAATATAAACAATAGATAAACAATTAATAATAACAGTGCTGAAGCAGGAACAGGATGTTGAGATCGTATTAAGCATAGCACTTCAATTCATATTTCATTAGGCCTATCAGTTGTATGCAAAATGTGTCGAAATTCAAACCTGCGACCTCTTGCTATTAAGGCGAGTATCATACCGTTTGACCACCGAGATCTATAAAATACTGTATGCGAAGATCTAACCCAAGGCACTTTCTCTCATACTGCCTGAAAAGCTCAAACATATTGGATCTATGGTTAAGCTAGCTTAAAGGTTACAGTTTAAAAATTAAAGCCAATAATATTCAAATTAGGTTTGTAATTTTCATGTATGTATTTTTATACGTATTTTAATCTGACATAAATTTAAATTTGGATTGAATCATGTTTTATTTGAGCACTGTTAATATTATTTATCTATTTGTTTTACCTAATATAAACTATTTATATATATAATATATATATATAAATATATATATATATT